TTCTTCTAAAAAATGTTTAATATAATAAATTTCAAGCACTCTAAAAAGGACCATAGAAAAGACAATAATAATCTATTGTAGATTATTTATTTAAATACAATGTATGGTACCTGTTTGTAGGTGAACATTTGGGAGTTGTTGCTTCAGTAAACATGGTAAAACATGGTTTAGAAGCACATGTTTTGTATAATTTGCATTATATGGCACCCTCACAATCCAAATACCTTTGTTAGTCCATACAACAAAGTCACAGTTTTCCAACTCCGCAACAAACATTTGAATTTGAATTTGGCAATAATATCTGCTTGATTCTTTCAATACCAAATCATTGTTGATCTTTTCTCCACCAATTTCAGGAGTAAGAAAAGCTTCTTTAGGAGTAATATTCTGGTGCTTCCAAGGACATTTATACTCCACAACGACATCAGGGCAGTTATCAGCGCAGCCACATGACCGAATGTTATCCAAACTGGCACCTATATAAGGCTTCTTCTTTGATAACAACAGACCTTTGGAAACTAGGGACAACTTACAGTGGTTTTTAGATTCCACCTTATGATAGCTCTCGCGGGCACTTTCTTCATGCTTTAAACCCCAACCTCTGGGGTCTGATGGTGCTTCTTCTGTGGTATTGGCAGCTTTTGAAGTGGTTAATGCTTTGAGCAAAGACGAAACATCTCTTCGTTTGCCTTTATCCAGGCTGTTCTGCATGGTAAAAACTCTATATGCAGTGGATCCAGAAATGAGGCCCATCTTCTGTTTATACCATTCATCGCATGTCGATTGCCCTAAGGTTAACTCATTTACTAAGTTGATCTCCTCCTGGCTGTGTGTTAAATTGCTCAGAACATCTTCAGCTGCAGCTTTGGTAAAAAATTCTTGGCCTGATTGTTCAAACAGTTTAATAAGTTTTTCATTTATAATTCCATTTCCTGAAGAAAGTTCATTGGGTTTAGGCACACATTCAATCGAATTAGTTTCATTCTCGTTTCTAGGTTCCTTTTCTTCAGCTGAATGTTTATCTTTTTCACCATCAAGCTTAGAAAGTAATGGTAGAATAGCTGAGTTGCACCCACTACTCTCTAATGAATGTGTAAACTGTTTTAGAGCCTCGTTTGTTGGACAAACTTGGTCGTGTTCGTTTCTTAAATCGGTATTTATATGTTCAATATAAACATGTTCTCGCTTGGGCTTTTTTAAAGGAAGATCACAATGTGAAATCTGCAAGTCTTTAACATCACAAGGCTTGCTATCAACAGTTGGCTTCTTGGTCCAAACACATGGCATACTTGTTGGGCTGTCCTTATCGCGTGTATTCAGTAAATCATCTAAAGAATACATGGCGGCAGCAATATGCTTGCAGCCACCATCGCGACCTCCCTTACACCGGCATCGGGCTTTCAGAACACTCCCTCTGTTTGCTCCTTTACCTTCAAGTATAAACCAGCAATCGTAGAAAGGTTTTCCTTCATCTGTCTTATCTTTCATAGCTGGCTTAACTTTACCCATATACAGGTGAAGTCTTTCATTTACCAAAGTCTCAGTCAACAGTGATTCGACATATCCGTCCTGGAAAAGACGATATTCGTCGAACGATTTATATGCCGCCAATCCTTGTTTATCGTATTCAGTCGAATGATAAATAAGATAGTTGAAAATATCATACAACCCAAACGGCGGGAGTCTGCGAAGTTGTTTGCCAGGTTTTTATGAGATGTGAAAGGGTTATCGATTTCCATTTCATTGATGTAAAACCTCTCGTTGTCCAAGGTTTCTTTTTCTTCGAAACTGCGACTTAATGGAATCATCATTTTGTTTACGGCAGTTGCTATTTCCACTAATGCAGGTTTTAGGTATCCACTCACACTAACACCGCGATTTTGCAGATACTCTTTTAGCTGTACAACACTCATATCCTTGAAGTTTTTCGGCTCCGAGTCATTAGAAGACATATTTCTACCTATTTCCGCGATTTCTTTCTTCTTTCGCAAACACAAACACAAAATATTATATTTTTCTTCACCGATTTAACGCGCGCGTTATACTAATCTATACGATTTGTCCGATTTGTTTGTCCGAGTCGCTGTTGTTTTTAACACGTGCAAGGTCACGTGATTGAGAGTGTCTGAAAGGTGGACTGCGTCGTCTTTCAGAGGCTCAAATTTTGAAGTATCCGACAGGATTTCGTCCATCTTCATATTATAGTCATCTTTGTTGAGAATTACAACACCGTTACCTTTGTCGGGTTTCATAATAACAACGTTGCTATCGCTCCTAAGGTCTTTGAGAATGTTCAGTTCTTCCTGTGTGTAGAAGGTGTTAGGTCGATTGTAGCTGCGGAAACCGGAGCTACAAATTAAGCAAGAACCAATCAATACCCATTCCGTTTTTTTCCCTGATTCGATCAAAGTTAAGTTTAAAAATATAGCATACATTTACATTTCAGTCATCATGTTGAAAATTGAAGGGTCCTGGAGAGTCAAATTAAAATCAAGCACTTACATACTATTCTAAATCAAGGCTGCTTATTTGAACATGAATATGATTTACAAGTACTTTTGCAGAATTCATAACCAATGATTTATTAATTCAGCTTTCCTGACTTCTGTTCAGCTGAAACAGTTCATTTATTGGCAAAACTGAAAAGTATTTTTAAACTACTTGCATGTTTGAATATTCGAATCCATTGAAAAGGTTCATTTCTAATCATTTAATCGAGTGTTTAGTTGAATAACTTTTTTGACAACCCCAGTGTAAATGATAGTGAATAGGAACCGTCATCTTCTTGAAACTTTATGTAAAATATAGAAAGCCTGACTAGAAGCTTCGAAAGAACTCGCGGTCTTTTCATAGTATTAATATTATATCCTGTGTCTCTGTATAAAACATGATGATAGCAAGCTTGTAAATATTCACAATGGTTTCAGAATGATTTTGAAATAGATTAGAAATATCACTGCAAATTGTCTTCTATTAAAATATCGTGAACCGACAAGAAGCACAGAAATACCGACAAGAACTCCGACAAAAAATTATACTAAGGACAGACAAAAACCGACAAAAAATACAGATAGCGCGTGCTGAACGTGAACATTATTTTGTATTATACTATTATTAGAGACACGCACAAAGTTAGTGGTAACTTTGTCGTGGGTCGTGTTTTTTCTCACGACTCGAGGAATAGCACTTCACTACTCAAAAATTAAATAATTATTATATCACCTATGAAGTTATGTAATATTTTAAATACTTTATTATAACTTTTTGGCACCGAAATGAACTTAGAAAATAACGAAAATATTCATAATATCGCATTTAAAGGCAATTATAAATTTTCGGTGTGGAAGCACTGGCTTCAGTCGTGAGCTCATGGCGTGCGGAAGCACAAAAAGGCCAACAAGACAGGCCCGAAATTCGTAATATTTTTACTGTTATTGTAAAAATAAAGTCGAAGAAACACAATATTAGCGTCTATTAGATCGTTATCGATGATTATAAGCTTTCTGTCAGTAATTTTTAGCTTGTTGTCGGTTGTTGCCGCCATTTTTGGGGTACTTTTTTCAAAAACCGTGAGCGTAAGACTTGGTAACGGCGACTGTCTTTAATTTTAGGCTGAATTTATTCTTCTAATGGTCCGTTTATTCCAAAAATTTTGATGTTTAAACATAATTTTTAAATCCATTTCAGAAGATTTAAAGTACCCCAAAACGTCATCGTGAGAAAGGCTAATTGCATTTGTTCGAATTGCATTCGACGCGACCAAAATGCGACATATAACCTAGGCCTAAACTAGCCAAGGCCATACCTAGATCACTTCATTAGTGGTGGTTTCATTTTTTTCAATCCTGGTCGCACTCCAGTACATTGAAATGATATAATTAACAAATAGATTACAATGAACCGTTGTCTGTTCAGTTATAGATACACGGTATGACGTCATATGTGATAAGAACAAAAAAAGTGGCCACGAGCCGCCGTTTTATATAATAAAACTGAAAAAAGTCCAAAATTAAACCGGTAAAAAGAAAATTGCTGTGACGTCATTCCGTGCTTCTGTCCTCTTATAGATCATGGCTCTCGACCAATGAAATTGCTTGAATTCTTCACGTTATTATATAATCTGCTGTAGAGCATATGAAATAATACAGTGGTGAGTGGCTCTATCTGTATTATCTATAATACCTGTTTCCTCGCCTTCCCCGACACAGCTAACCCAAGCCAAATATAAATGCATAATATAAATACATAAGAGATGCCTCCGGAGGAGGCTAGGTTTCCTCACACTAGTAGCAATTTTCATGTCACGTCCGCGTCGTAGATTTGGTGAATCTTAAACTCACTTTTTTATTAAGTGGGGCTCACCAACTGCATAATATGTTGCACAAAAAATATTAATGACTGTTGCAGAATTTAGTAAACAGCATTTACATAGTATGCGCAAATGTATAGAGTTATGGTCGTAAATTCTATAATAGTGTAGTATCATATAGCATAGAAAATGGAGGTTTTGAGGTAGCACGTAGCAGCAACCGCGAAACCAATGTCCCACAGAATAACGTAAGCGGACGCAAATGTGGGTTCTAGTGGAGCAAAAACTACAGAAAAAACATCCTGTAGTTCTGTAAGAGATGCGTCAGCGAAATGCATCATTGATTGGTAAAGCATCCTGTTTTGTTATTATAAATATAGGTTAAAATCATTGTTGTAAGTTAGTTGTGCATTAGAGCGTGAATTGTTGTAAAGTGTTGATTCCTGAATAAATGTAAAATTATATACAGTCCCAGATTGAACGATTTTGGAGCAGCGTAGCGGAAAATCAGACTTGTTTGGAGATTTTCAACAATAACCTCTTTTTACATATTTAAAACTGGTCTTTGGCTCTACGTTTTTTTTGTATTAGTGTAAACACTCAATTTCTGAACCACATTTGATGTGCCTGTTTTGTGTATCATTTAAATCATCTGGATCCTTGTTTAATATTGTTTCTGTTATAATTTTAGGAGGAGATCTACCATTATTTTGCTTATACACAATGTTGTATAATGTTGGTTGAGTGTTTACAGCGAGGACAACTCAAAGTTATTCAACTCGTGTGAGAAGTTCTCTGAGTCAAGGTGCGAATAATTTACTGAGTAAAAGATCCGTTTAATGTCGCTCCCTAATCTGTTCTACCTAAAGCCCCGTTTCCACGTAGTTTGATACAAGTGTAACCAGAAAATGTTCAGTTAGTTGGGTGTATTCTTTCCAACATATCTAGCTGTAGCACAGAGTATTTTTAATGTTAGTACTCAGTTAAAGTTAGATACGTTGAAAGAAAAGGCCCTAAACAGCTAAAAATTTGGTTAAACTACAGGGTCCTCGAGAATGATTTTTTGTAGCATCTTGTTAAAGAATTTCGAAATTTTTGACTGCAAAAGTAAAAGCAATTTATTTATTTATTCTTAATATTTAAAAAATGCTGCCTATTAGCACTCCCAAATCTCCAGTAGATTAATATCCTGTCCACTGACGTATTCAAGTGAAAACGCTTTTTACGTGCTGATATGTACTTTAAAAAGCTTATAATTGATAAACCATACAATCTTTGTATAACAACAGTATTATAAGAATTATCATCCTGACAGTTTGTGTCTTTGGTTTAGGGGATTGTGAAGTTGATATTTAAAGACAACAATGGATCCATTGAGGGCTAAAGCTAATTATTCCAGGGTATGTCATTTGTTGGTAGATAAAGGTGGAGATGTTTTGAGAAATGCTTTGCATGCGGTGCATCCACCTTCCACCTTAGCTTCCGTATTGAATGCAAACAAGAAGACCTTACAGAGAATACGATACAGTGTAATTAAAGCCTCGCAATGGGATCTACTCTTCCCAAGATCTGGTGCTCCAGATTCAAACAACTTTGATATTACCTTATTGACTGTCCTGCTCCGAAATATTTGTGGATTGTCCGCACCAGCCACCGGATGGAATGTGATGCCTCCAGTCAGCGATACTTCTATATCTGCAAATATTTTAAGAGTCAAAATGTTTAGAAATGAAGTCTATGGTCATATTCCAACTGCTGGTTTGGACGACGTAACGTTTGAAACATTGTGGAAAGAAATTTCTGTTCCGTTAGTCAACTTGGGAATTCCTCAAATTGATATTGATGAATTAAAGGTGGCTCCTCTTAGCCCTGAAGAAGAAAGTTATATTGAAAGATTGAAAGAGTGGAAACAACAAGAGGATCTCCACAATGTCGAGCAACTCGCTAAATTTAACTTTACTGGAAAGATTAATGACCTTTGTACAAAATTTCAAGATGGCACCAGAAAGTGGTTGTTTGATAAACTTTCAAGTTGGTTTGGGAGTGAAGAATCCAGGGTCTTGATCCTAACTGCAGGTCCAGGCGTTGGAAAAAGTGTTTTGTCTGCAAAGCTTTGCGAGCTTTTTAGAGAACGTGGTCAACTCGCAGCTCACCATTTCTGTGACTTTCGAAATTCTGATTCCAGCAATCCTCAGAGAATCCTCCAGTCCCTTGCCAGTCAAATGTGTGATAATGTTGAAGGATTTCGTGATAAACTAACTGAAATTATTCGTCGTGAACATTCTCGTGACTCGTTGTCTGACGCATTTCGTGTTCTTTTGAACGACCCCCTCCATGCCCTTGACAGACACGATCCAATGTTGATCATCGTTGATGCTTTAGACGAGAGCAAAACTGACGAGAAAAGCGAATTATTGGAGTTGATATCTGAGAGATTTTGTGAACTGCCTGATTGGATTAAGATATTCATTTCAAGTCGGCCAGAGCTACAAGTACGAAAGATTCTTGAACATCTTCACCCGTGGGAAATCCGTCCTGATGACGAAGATCACAACCACGACATAGAGCTTTTTGTTCGTCATAGTTTACCTAATCTTTACGGTTATAGTATAAGGTCAGTTATTTCAAAGTGTGAGGGATCGTTTTTGTACGCTTATTACTTGGTCAGTGAATTTAAAGAAAAGGGCGTGGGAATTGAACCCGACCTAAATGATTACATCCTCAACGGTATTTCCGGATATTACGAAAAACAGTTCAAACGTTTGAAAATAGGCCTCCAACATTTCAAGCAGGATGCCTCATGTCTCTTAAACAGTTTGATCAATGTCGTTGCCGTTTCTAAGGAACCTATGCCAATAAAAATTCTTCTCACATGCATGGGTCTCTCTAAAGACGAATTTAAAATACGTAAAGCGGTTCTTGACATAATGTCAGAGATTCTTCCAGTTTACGATGGGTGTCTGGCAGTTTATCATAAGTCATTATGGGATTGGCTGACATTGAACGGTTATGAAGAACATGAATTCGTTGCAGATTTTTCAGACGGCAATATACGTCTCTGGCGTGCTTGTAAGAAACAATTCTGCGAGATAGATGCTTTGAAGTCTGTTTTAGAACTCCAAATTTCAGCCGAGAATAGGTACGCTTTAAAACATGGTTGGAAATATTTGGTCGATGCAGGCGAGGTAGAGGAATTTCATTGGTTGGTGCATGTTGGTATAAACGTCTTGAAACTAAAATTTTTTGATCACCTGAACAGTTCTTTTTTCAGGCAAATTCTTGGCACGTACCGTTCTAAACTTTCCAAGGATATTTGTTGGGGCCTCATGCAATACCTTTGTTTCTCTGAAATGGTAGAAGTTAGCCCTGGGAGAGCAAGTGTTAAGACTTATGAAAAAGATCATCTGCGCGGAATAGTTGAGACTTGTGAAGAAGATAGTTGTTACGCATATTTGCAAGCACTTGCTAATGGATACTTTGATTTTTCACAAGGTGCCGTCAATTCCAAAAGTGTAGCTAGGGATATCTTGGGTGCGACAAATGAGTTTTGGATAGAATATGTGACAACTAAAAGCAATTCTAATTTAAGCATTTCCCTCGAAGCTGTGGTTCCATACGACTCAAATTTTAATATTTTAGTGTCACCGGACCAGACGATGCTTGCTTGCATACTTGGGGAAAAAGTCCAAGTGCTTAAAATACCAGATCTTACAACTGTCTTTGAGGCACAAATTACTATTATAAGACCTCTTTGCCAATTCTCTGCCTTTTCTCCAGACTCTTCGTATTGTTTATACAATTCAATCCGGTTCTGCATCAATATTAAAGAAAAAGAAGAGGTCCCCTTCATTACGCACGGCCCCAAAGACATCAGTTGCTGTTCATTTTCTTCATGTGGAATGAAACTTGTCACATTAGAGAAAACGTCAATCAAAGTGTGGAATGTAAAAAGCAAGAATATATTGGTTGAAGTTGAGAACGTGTATAGTGAGAAGTCTTATTGTTTCTTTAGTAATTGTAACTCGTGTATTCTTCTTTGGTCAAGGGATGAGGAAAGATTTGGTTCCCCAGTCTTAGATCACATGAACGTCTTGAATTCTGAAACTTTAGAAAAGACTGATAACAAGAATATTCGTGTTGACCAGAATTTGTGTAGTAATGATTCCTTTCAAATGTTTTCGCCGCGTTATTTGCTTTCCGACTTGAATGTTAAAATGAAAATGAATTATATCTGTTTGCCATCTGGTGAGAAAGTTATAATTTCCAATAAATATTGTTCAAAAGTTTTTGTGTGGAAAAACAGAAAGTGTGTAGCATTTACAAGTGATTTGAAAAATGATTTAGCTTTGGTAGTGTACGATCTCATAAATCAAAAGATCGTTGACGTGTTTGAGATAGGATTTTTGCCTTATGATACTCGTGTCAATTACATTTCGAAATTAGAAGGGACGAGTTTCCTTTTATCTTTAGGATTTCCCAAAGTACTCAGTGTTTTATCCTTCAAATCTCTTCTCGAATGGCCTGATGCTACTTTTCTTGACAATGCCCAAATAGATTGCTGTGCACTATCTCCAGACACCTTGTATGTCGCGTGCTGTTTTAAAAATTGCCTTCTTTCAATAAGAAGTGTCGAGAGTGGGGAAACATTGCAAACTGTTGCACTAAAACAACGAGCATTAGCATGTTGGTGGTCAGAGTCGTACCTTTGGTTGGTCTGTGATGGTCTGGTTGTTAAATATCGCTATGAACCTAGGAGTGAAAATATCTTAGGAAGTCGAAGTCAAGATGAAGAATCTATTGCAAAGTTTAAGCGTGTCCTTGCATTTAAAAATGGAGTTCTTGTCATTGACTGCGTTCGGGAACTTTCTATTTTAAGAATTTGTAACGAAAAACTGTGTTACCAAGAAACACCGTCATGTAGGTTTACTCTCCCTTCTGCGGCAATACGTTCTGATGGGTGTGCTGTTATGTTATTCAATACTTATGGTGTTTCACCTTATGAATTGTGGGAAAAACGTGGCAACACATGGATTGTACGTTCAACCGGAGAGTTGGGTCTACCGGATCTACTGGATATTTGTTGCTGGTTTTTATCTGGTACAGAAACTACTTGCAATGCAGTGTTCTTGACAAGAGATAAATTGTCTAAAATTCATTTACTTCCTATTACTTTCCGAGATGGTGTGAAAAAATTTCATGAGATTGAAAACTTTAGTCTGGCTGTTTATATCGATTCTGATTTGTTCGCTATTTTCGCCAGTAGATGGATACATTTTTTTAAGGCGTCGGAAGGCAAAATAATATCTTCCAGATACATTGGTAATCTTTTTTCTTTTCCTCCTGATCCATCTCCTTTCTTTCTTCCATCAACGCGTTCCCTTCTGTTCGTTGACAGAAATGGCAACAAATATTTAAAAATTCATAATATTGAAAAGTGTCTCTAAGATTTCCTTTCTTGATGTCAGTAGTTTAGAATCCGATTTCTTGTTTAAATGCGAAAATCATGGAAATCATTGAAACGTTTTTTTAGTTTTTCCTTTCGTGATGTAAATTGTTGAGCATGGAATTTCTTGTTTTAACGGCGAAACGCACGAGTTTATGAAAATTTTTGAACTGTGTAATATTAGTTAGAAAGATGTTTTTAAAATATATTTTGTAACCAAGAGATTTTCCTGCTTTGTGTTTTTATAACCTGCGTGTGAGATCGATTAATTCACATACTTCCTTTGTGTACTTGTGATAAGCGTACATGAATATCCAGCTTCTTACTTGTTAAGCGATCAGTTTATTCTACACACAGGAATTCAGTATAATAGCCCTCTTTACTTGCTTTACTGTTCCTAACGGAAGACGATGAACGGAAAATCCTTCTATAATTAACATGGATCATTATTACATTTTTTCCGCTTTGGGTAAAAAAAAAGCTTAAAAAATTACGCCGTGACTAAAGGAATACATTTTCAATTGTTTATGTTATTTTCCTGAAAGTTAAAATTATAGCTGTCTTTATGTCACTAGATATGAAAACATGATTTCTTCCATTAGAAATTAAAATTTAAAGGAAAATATTTTCGTAGCGAGGCAAACGAAGCTATAAAATTAAGGATATTTTTGTTCATCTTTCTTAATTTAGTATACGAGACTTGATTGAAAAGAATATCAATGAAGGTTTAGGTCAATGATTTACCTGGACTAAAATAGCTGGAATGTGTGATGAATTATGATATCTTTACTTTTAGAATTAGTTTCCTATTTTGTCAGGAAAACTTTTATCCCACGTTTTTAGCATTCCTCCATTTTTATATTCTAAAGCAATTTTTTGAAGCTCCCCTGGAAGATAAAGAACATAAACCTTTTGGAAAAGGACAAAGAAGCCTGTGGGGAAGTACAATTTTTTGGTGTAGTCAGGCTATAACCAGGTCGTAATTTTTTCGAATATTAAAGTCATACTTTATGTCAAAAGATACAAAAAACGAAGTTTCCTCAATCAAAATTTAGAAGTGAACAAATTATTCTGGAATTTTTCCAGCATATAGAAAACCTGACTAGCCTCGTTTTTGTGTATCCCGCAATAGGCCTCTTGCTCTACTTCTAATAGGTCCATGCATAGTGATGGGAACCCGCGTCATGATTTAAGGGGCGGATTGCATGGGCGATGCTGGCACCTTCCCTATAGTCCATTATAGTCAATTCAAACGTTTCCGTTACATGCAACCGGGTCAGCTCGAGCTGTGGTTGTGTCAAGCGGGCCAGCACGGCTCCCCGACATGGGCGTGGCGATTGGTAGGGGGTTGGTGTGAGGGGTGTGACACCCCCTGGTAATTCAGCATGATAAAAAGTTGGTCAAATTGCTTTGTAATTTGTAAGCAATTGAGCAAACATACAACAACATTTGTCTCAGTATTTATGAATCTTTAAGGCTCGTGATACTCATAGAAAAGTTGACCAAACTCCTACTCCCAGGTCATTTTCCACTGTCAAAATTGGGTCAATATTAAGTGACACCTCCCTCCAATCCTAGCTCGTTTGCCACGCCCCTGCTTAGTTGCCGGGGTAGCAGTTTCGTTTGAGGCCAGCAAACTGGCCTAAAAGCACAAGAATAAATATCATACTTTAAAACCTGGGAAGGATTGACATTTACACAATTGATTTCAAAAAATTTCGGTAAACTATCATTCTGAAATCACTCATGTAGTCGTTTGCTAGGCAAACGTGCTATCCCGGTCCATGTAATCAGCCCCTAAATGGTATGATTAAATTTTGATTTGTGAATATCAGCGATGCCTGCAGTGATTTCGCAGCGATTACTCATGGATGCGGTGATTTCGCGGTGGTAACTTCCTATTTCTCGAATATATTATTTACATTATTGTATAACCGTGAAGTTGCAAGATAAAAGTATTTGTCATGCACATGCACGATGTAATTTACCACTTATGTTTTTCTATACTCCATATAAATACAATATATACACATTTTTAACTATTTTATCTCTATGCTTAAAGCAAATATTAGTTAAGTAAATTAGCTTGTAGGTACACCACGTAAGTAAGTATTGTAGTTGCTTGTACAGGGTGTCCCAAAAAAACCGAAAACTATTGAAATCACCCATAACAATGCCATTGTTAGAGTTTGAATGCCCAAGCACTCTGTTGGGCCCACAAGTGCATAAATCAGGGTTGCCATAAGCATTTTTATGCATGCATATGATGCAGTCAAATTTGCTTGTTCGCAAAAATGATATTTATCAACAATATTTACAATTTACAAAATATGGATAACATTATTTAAATGTGCATCTCAAGGACCATGACCTTCGACATGTCCCCTTTCTCTAGCAACACAAAGCATTTAGCATTTTATAAGTTGCATTAATTCAAATTTTAACAATGAGTGATTTCAATAGTTTTCGTTTTTTTTGGGACACCCTGTAGTTTAAATATGACTCGATGCTGTCGTTGTAACGGGAATGGAGGGTGTAGACAAAGAATGTGTTTGTAGAACGATCCAGTTTGCATTAATTGAAAGCCTGGAAAAACGAACGATTTAAAAATAAAAAAGCAGCTCGTCATTTTGTTTAAACTGTTATGTTTACGAGAAAACTGTATTACGTATAATCATTATATCATCTTATAAAATTTATATATAATATATTCATATAACCATATAGCATTCTCTTCAGTCAGACTTACATGCATGAGTAAGCAAATAGCTATCCACACCTTATCTCACAAACACGTAACAAGGTGTCGACCACAAACCACGATAGAATGCATGTGCTATAACGCGCTGTATTGCGTACGGGAAATGACTTGTAGTTTTAGTTTAACCAAGCGTATAAAGTCTGAAAGCAACCAAACACGGGCAGAGAAATGCGTAAAGCATTCTTCGTAAGGCCGCAGTGCCTAAATATTATATTGTAAAAGCAGAGTACTAAACAAAAGGAGTTGAAGTTGAAGACAAGGCTTTGTGGAGTTGTGCTCAGACAGAGATAAGTCAAACGTTTATATTATATTCTTAATTAAGGTTATAATCTTATAGAGACGTTAATTACTGTTATTGGAAAGTTAAGGAATAAAAAGTTATATATAAATGTAATTGACTCACACTGTGTTTGTTGCGAGTAGAAACAGAACCAAAAGCGAGTATTATCAAAGTTTATAGGACCACGCTCGTAACAACTGCTTCTGACATCGCAATCACCCAATGTTTGCTTTTGTTTTTCTGTATTAAAGATAGAAAGAAAATGGCACAAATTAATTCTGAAAGGCATATTTAATTGCTATTGAAATTAGTAAGATGGCTCTAGACGGTTTTAGCTAAGCTATATAATGCAATATTTTGGTACTTTTTTATCAAATGATACATTTTCTACAAAGAGACCTCGGTCCGATATCGATCTCTTGGTAAGAAGTTACTAACTCACCCCCAGTAAGGTTAAAATTTAAGTCAGGAAAACTGAGGAATTTCACATGCACGCCAAGGAATACTTAAATTTATTCCACAGACAGTAAACAGTCACTGGTTTGATAATTGTTATTTATGAATTATGTGGTCAAAAAACAAACGAATTAGTTCGTCATATTTCTTCTGTTAATACGATCTTTTAATAGATTTCTGATATCCGCTCTGTTGTACTTGGAATAAAAATTATTACTTTGTTTTGATTGTTTTTGATTGTGTAATATTGAATCGTTTTATATTAAATTTTTCAGCATTCTCGTTCCTACGGCTACACCCTAAAATATTTATCAATAATTACTCCGGCGTCAGCGACCGAGTTGAAAATTCGCCTCGGTTTTTTTTTGGTTTTTTTTTAAATTTTTTTTATTATTATTTTTCGTCGTCGCAAGTCTGTAATGGCGCGAAATGTACTAGTATTTGAAATGTGTATGTGATTGGATTTATCTATGTCCCAGTCTTGTCTCCCAAGAGTTGTGGTGCACAGCTTTGGCTAATTTTCCGATGCGCGATTCGATTTCGCTCGCATGATACGGCAATTCCTCCAAGAGGAACAAATAAACCGTTCTGTTCGATTAAGTTTAGATTGAATTGGGGTAAGAATATATTTAATACATTTAGATTCTGGTCCTATTTTAATAATATCGCTGCTATTTCGCCGTTTAACAACATGTGGCCGTGTATGGGCGCGTTGACACGTCGCAGTTTGCACAGGATTGAACATTTACCGAGCGTCAGCGAGGCAGCACACTATTCTTGACATTCTGAGGTTTCTCCAGAGTTCAGTCGACCCAGGCTTTTGCGCCGATTTATGTATTGTCAAAATTTGGATCTGTGTCTGTCTGGAAAGATGTTTGTCGTAATTCCGGGGGCATATATTAAGCTTCAAGTTTGTTGGAAGATATAGGGGGGGATTCGATTTCGAATAATTTTTATTGCGTATGCAAATTCGACATGCTTAAGTCCGAATGCAAACCACAAAGCCGATTGTACGAAAAAATTCTTGAAAATATACAGGTAAGTATGGCTTTATTTCTTTCTGCTGATATCCATCAAGGCGATGAACTTTTTAGTATTCATTCTAGAGGCAAGCAATGTGCTTTTATGAGTTTATCGGCGCTTCTTACAGCCTGAAATTTTCCCTTATCGTCGTGGTCAAAAATTACATTTAATAATGTCTTATTACAAGGAGACAAAATGTACCTAAAAGCGCTGAATAGTGGCTTTATAATGTTAGAATCGGATGAATATTTTTTGTCTGTGGGAAATTTACCGATTTTTGTGAATGTTTCACTGAATATCATCTGCCCATTGTCATATTTGTGGTGAAACCCTTCAGGCACAAAATATTGTTGATCCACCCATGGTGGTGGAGCTGATTGAGGCACAAAATGTTTCATAACATATGGAACAGAAATTCAAGGTCTTGTTATAACAGATCGAGAAATTGAGTGCCACTACTATGACATTCACACTGCACTGTTAAACATATTTTCAGATGAAAGTTATGCTATTATTATTATATTAGGTTATATGATGGCCTTGATTAAGGAAACAGATGATTTTTATCTTATTGACTCGCATGCTAGAGATTCTAGTGGCATGCGTGATCATAATGGCACTGCTGTTGTCATGAAATTTTATAATATTCTGGAATTAGA